GGAGGAGGTGGATTTGTTATTTGATTGGAGTAAATGTGTTGGTGGTAATTGGTTTCAAATTAAATCTATGTTTTATGAACTTGCAATTGTGTATATATAACACTATATCACTAATAAAAATATATAGTATGTTTTAATGAGGGTAATTGTTGCGTAGTTTTTATTGTGGGCAAATTGACGCAAACATACTATTACACAACAGACCCGAGCTCTTTTAAAAGATCAATTATTCAGTAACGTGTAAACTATTGTAATTAGATTGCCCCACAGTGGAGAAATGAAATAACAACGCCTTAGAGAATACAGAGGCAGCTGAAACAGAAACGTAAAACAAATTAAAAAAATATATGTGGCGAGACTGGATGGAAAATTTAGGAAAATAATGCACGAGTTCTTGCCAGTTTGATGGAGATTCGAAAAGAGTTAAAGTTGTGAATTCACACAGGGAAGAGGTTCGTGACCGAATTCCTCTTACGGTACGGTTTGAAACATATGAATAAAAAGGGTGATATATACTTCAAATAACGTGTGTGACTAGAAAGTGCAAGTGTGAGTGTGCGTCTCCTGACCCTAGGTTCTGTATGATAAAAGACAGTTGCGCGACATCACAGCACTTGTATACATTTATATACAGATGGATGGATGGATGGATGGATGAATGGATAGAAAAAACAAGGGGAACATATGGTACAGGTCAAAATAGGAAGCTGCATCCGACATCATGTTGGTCACTGATGCGTTTTGAAAGCTTTACTGAGGCCTTTAATGTTGTAACCTGACCAAACAACTTCTGAGCAAGAGTCACATGACGCTCTTTGAAATCTTCGTAGACAGAACATGCTTGATTGTATCTCAGAAGTTGTGAAAGGCTGGAGCTGCTGGAATATTGCTCGACATGAAGGGAAATTGACTATTGGAAAGTTGAAGTCATCTCTCTTGCCATACAGTCTTGAGTGTTTTGTCACTCTGAATCTTTATGCATAGATCTAAATATGAAACAGATGAGGCGGTCTCACTGGTCTCCTTTATTTCTATTTCACGTGGGTAAATTAGTGGAAGGGAATTTGCTATTTGAATGTTATTGAACGATATCAAATCATCGACATACCTGAAGCTTAAGTTATACTTCTTGGCCTTGTTTTGACTTTGCCAATCCGATCAGAAATTCGGATTCATATGCATGAAGAACCAGATACGCATTTGGGGAAAACAACTGGTGCCCATGCGCTGCAGGGAGAATAATACCATGAGGGGCGCAGTGCATTATTCTCCCTGCAGTGTCTTATTGAATAATGCCATGAGGAGCAGTGCATTATTCTCCCTGCAGTGTCGTATTGAATAATATCATGAGGGGCGCAGTGCATTATTCTCCCTGCAGTGTCGTATTGAATAATACCATGAGGGGCGCAGTGCATTATTCTCCCTGCAGTGTCGTATTGAATAATACCATGAGGGGCGTAGTGCATTATTCTCCCTGCAGTGTCTTATTGAATAATACCATGAGGGGCGCAGTGCATTATTCTCCCTGCAGTGTCTTATTGAATAATGCCATGAGGGGCGCAGTGCATTATTCTCCCTGCAGTGTCGTATTGAATAATGCCATGAGGGGCGCAGTGCATTATTCTCCCTGCAGTGTCTTATTGAATAATACCATGAGGAGCAGTGCATTTTTCTCCCTGCAGTGTCTTATTGAATAATGCCATGAGGAGCAGTGCATCATTCTCCCTGCAGTGTCGTATTGAATAATATCATGAGGGGCGCAGTGCATTATTCTCCCTGCAGTGTCTTATTGAATAATGCCATGAGGGGAGCAGTGCATTATTCTCCCTGCAGTGTCGTTTTGAATAATATCATGAGGGGCGCAGTGCATTATTCTCCCTGCAGTGTCTTATTGAATAATACCATGAGGGGCGCAGTGCATTACTCTCCCTGCAGTGTCGTATTGAATAATACCATGAGGGGCGCAGTGCATTATTCTCCCTGCAGTGTCTTATTGAATAATACCATGAGGAGCAGTGCATTATTCTCCCTGCAGTGTCGTATTGAATAATACCATGAGGGGTGCAGTGCATTATTCTCTCTGCAGTGTCTTATTGAATAATACCATGAGGGGCGCAGTGCATTACTCTCCCTGCAGTGTCTTATTGAATAATGCCATGAGGAGCAGTGCATTATTCTCCCTGCAGTGTCGTATTGAATAATATCATGAGGGGCGCAGTGCATTATTCTCCCTGCAGTGTCTTATTGAATAATACCATGAGGGGCGCAGTGCATTATTCTCCCTGCAGTGTCGTTTTGAATAATACCATGAGGGGCGCAGTGCATTATTCTCCCTGCAGTGTCTTATTGAATAATACCATGAGGGGCGCAGTGCATTATTCTCCCTGCAGTGTCTTATTGAATAATACCATGAGGGGCGCAGTGCATTATTCTCCCTGCAGTGTCGTATTGAATAATGCCATGAGGGGCGCAGTGCATTATTCTCCCTGCAGTGTCTTATTGAATAATACCATGAGGAGCAGTGCATTTTTCTCCCTGCAGTGTCTTATTGAATAATGCCATGAGGGGCGCAGTGCATTATTCTCCCTGCAGTGTCGTTTTGAATAATACCATGAGGGGCGCAGTGCATTATTCTCCCTGCAGTGTCTTATTGAATAATACCATGAGGGGCGCAGTGCATTATTCTCCCTGCAGTGTCTTATTGAATAATACCATGAGGGGCGCAGTGCATTATTCTCCCTGCAGTGTCGTATTGAATAATGCCATGAGGGGCGCAGTGCATTATTCTCCCTGCAGTGTCTTATTGAATAATACCATGAAGAGCAGTGCATTTTTCTCCCTGCAGTGTCTTATTGAATAATGCCATGAGGGGCGCAGTGCATTATTCTCCCTGCAGTGTCGTATTGAATAATATCATGAGGGGCGCAGTGCATTATTCTCCCTGCAGTGTCTTATTGAATAATGCCATGAGGGGCGCAGTGCATTATTCTCCATGCAGTGTCTTATTGAATAATACCATGAGGGGCGCAGTGCATTACTCCCCCTGCAGTGTCGTATTGAATAATACCATGAGGGGCGCAGTGCATTATTCTCCCTGCAGTGTCTTATTGAATAATGCCATGAGGAGCAGTGCATTATTCTCCCTGCAGTGTCGTATTAAATAATACAATGAGGGGTGCAGTGCATTATTCTCTCTGCAGTGTCTTATTGAATAATACCATGAGGGGCGCAGTGCATTACTCTCCCTGCTGTGTCTTATTGAATAATACCATGAGGGGCGCAGTGCATTATTCTCCCTGCAGTGTCTTATTGAATAATATCATGAGGGGCGCAGTGCATTATTCTCCCTGCAGTGTCTTATTGAATAATGCCATGAGGGGCGCAGTGCATTATTCTCCCTGCGGTGTCTTATTGAATAATGCCATGAGGGGTGCAGTGCATTACTCTCCCTGCAGTGTCTTATTGAATAATATCATGAGGGGCGCAGTGCATTATTCTCCCTGCAGTGTCTTATTGAATAATGCCATGAGGGGCGCAGTGCATTATTCTCCCTGCGGTGTCTTATTGAATAATATCATGAGGGGCGCAGTGCATTACTCCCCCTGCAGTGTCTTATTGAATAATACCATGAGGGGCGCAGTGCATTATTCTCCCTGCAGTGTCGTATTGAATAATACCATGAGGGGCGCAGTGCATTATTCTCCCTGCAGTGTCTTATTGAATAATACCATGAGGGGCGCAGTGCATTACTCCCCCTGCAGTGTCTTATTGAATAATACCATGATGGGCGCAGTGCATTATTCTCCCTGCAGTGTCTTATTGAATAATGCCATGAGGGGCGCAGTGCATTATTCTCCCTGCGGTGTCTTATTGAATAATGCCATGAGGGGCGCAGTGCATTACTCTCCCTGCAGTGTCTTACTGAATAATATCATGATGGGCGCAGTGCATTACTCTCCCTGCAGTGTCTTACTGAATAATACCATGATGGGCGCAGTGCATTATTCTCCCTGCGGTGTCTTATTGAATAATGCCATGAGGGGCGCAGTGCATTACTCTCCCTGCAGTGTCTTATTGATTAATACCATGATGGGCGCAGTGCATTACTCTACCTGCAGTGTCTTATTGATTAATACCATGAGGGGCGAATGGACCATGAGGGACACAGTCCCGAGTGGTTTATTCTCTCTGCAGTGTTATATTGTACGATATAAAATATGCCTTTTATCAGATATCAACTTAACTTACAGCCTCTTAGGATGTTAGTAAAAAATCAAAACATATTTATCCGGATGTAAATAATGATGACTCCCTGAATAGAATCCGACCGCGGACAAATCCATTTTATGAACAAGTTGGTTTTATTTGTTTGTTTGTTTACTTGTTGTTTAACGCTGCACTCGGCAATATTCCAGCTATATGACGGTGGTCTGTAAATAATCGAGTCTGGATCAGACAATCTAGTGATTGACGTCATGCACATCGATCCATGCAATTGGGATACAATGACACGCATCAACCAAGTCAGCGAGCCTGATCACCCGATATCGTCAGTCGCCTCTTACGACAAACATAGTCGCCTTACATTTGTTCTTTCCTGCTTATTCTGTCAATTTTGACGTCGATTATGTGTGCCTTTTCTCCCAATGCCGATTTTCATGTCCCTCCCACTTTTGGAAGCGATCCTTCGGCCATTGTGTTTATCTGCGTTACCCAGCTACATCTATGGGAAACAACTCACCAGACACTTCCCTCCCAAACATAACGTTGTCCATTTTAACACGCTTCGTTCTTCATTGTTCTATGCGGCTTATAAATCAGAACATACTTGATGCTAACGTCCCAGACTATAACCATCCACATCATCCAATACAATAAATATATTTCCCGGAACTCTGCGACTCTGCATATTAATAAAATACAATACATGTAATTTCTCATCAAAGGTTACAATGCTGAAGAAATGAAAAACACAACTATATGGTGAAAACACCATATGTGAGCCATGTGAAGTCGCACAGTTTCCATGTATCGCTGTTGTTCTCACAGGCGCTTCCGTCGTCGGTCAAGTCTCTCCCGGAAACATCATAGTGAAGGTGGAAGGAGACACGAAGCCGTTGTTCTTTATGATGTCAGCGTAGTATTTTGACGAGAGCTTAGGGACCCTCGCTCTGGTCGGGTCTGTCTTGTTGATGGCGAAAAGGCCAAAGCTGACGTTGTAGCCGTCTCTCCACTCAAAGTCGTCAACGAGGCTATCAACGACGTAGCCACGGACGTCCACTTTGTCTAACTGTATAGCTGAAAGGAATCAGAATTCTTCAGTGGTTTAATCTAGTTGTCTAATAATTTAGCTGAAACGATACAGCATTCTTTGGCTTTTTAATCTCGTTTTCGCGAACACCTGGTCTCACCATGGATTTTCACTGATCCTTTTATTTTCACAACTAGTTTGACGTTTTTATGCCCAATGGAATCTGCTTCTTTGAAAAATCGAGACTGGGTACACTACAGCATTTACGTGTGATATTTATATTTACATTGGCCTGTGACGAATTGAAATGTCAATACAGTAAAGCGCCAATAGTATTGTCTGAAGCCATACAATTATTATACCATGATAACAGCAGACTAAGCAATTATTCACAGCCCATGATAATATAGAAACCATTCTCGAAGGTCTCCGTGATATTGTTCTGTTACCTTTAAGAATTTCATTGGTGTGATGCGCAATGTATGATGCCCGGAGCTTGTCGTCGGTGGTGCCCGGGTCGTCGGACACGCCGTTCCCAGTGACGTAAATTGGAATGTTGCCATAACGCTCTCTAGCTCGTCTCAGGATTTGACGGATTCCCTTCGGGTAGACTCGGAGCCAGTCCAGGTTTGTCCTGGAACCAACACAGGGTGGGGTTTGGTAGGGAGAAGGATTTTAAAATATAGTTTAAAACGTATGTCTCACAGCAATGAGAACACTTGTCATGCACAACACATGTTCAAAATATGGAGAGAAAGAATCACGTTGTTGTGGACGGTCACACCCTTTTACTAATGACGTCATTTGGTCGGTGTCATCACGTGCTTCACTTCCTTGACGTCAGTGGCCGCTGTTCCCCAACTTCACTCATGCGATGCCTGAACTGTGTTTTATTCCAAATGATACAGGAATGAATATGACACGTTTCAATACCATAGTATGCTTGTGACGCTGGTTCACATTTTGATCTCACTCTAACAGTAAACTAAATGTGATCTGTAGATTCCCGGTGACTCTATCTGTCTCCTTCCATCTCACTCTAACAGTAAACTAAATGTGATCTGTAGATTCCCGGTGACTCTACCTGTCTCCTTCCATCTCACTCTAACAGTAAACTAAATGTGATCTGTAGATTCCCGGTGACTCTACCTGTCTCCTTCCATCTCACTCTAACAGTAAACTAAATGTGATCTGTAGATTCCCGGTGACTCTATCTGTCTCCTTCCATCTCACTCTAACAGTAAACTAAATGTGATCTGTAGATTCCCGGTGACTCTATCTGTCTCCTTCCATCTCACTCTAACAGTAAACTTAATGTGATCTGTAGATTCCCGGTGACTCTACCTGGGCCAAGAGTTGTCGGCAGACGTCTTGACGGACACGTCATCAGCGATGCTGGGTGCTGCAGTCGGGGGGTAGTTTGTGACCCTCTCCACCTGGTGTGCTGTGTAGTAGCTGATACCCAGGAAGTCCGCAGAACCTGTGGCATGGGTGTATATCACTGCTGTCAAACTTCGCAGACACTGTTATATATCATATAGCACTGCTGTCAAGCTTCTATAACACTGTTATATATCATATATCACAGCTGTCAAGCTTCTATAACACTGTTATATATCATATATCACTGCTGTCAAGCTTCTATAACACTGTTATATATCATATAGCACTGCTGTCAAGCTTCTATAACACTGTTATATATCATATAGCACTGCTGTCAAGCTTCTATAACACTGTAATATATATCACTGCTATTAAGCTTCTATTACACTGTTTTATATTATATTTCACAGCTGTCAAGCTTCATGTAACACCGTCATATATTATATATCACTGCTGTCAAGTTTCTATAACACTGTTTTATATTATATTTCACAGCTGTCAAGCTTTACGTAACACTGTTATATATTATATATCACAGAAACCAAGCTTTATGTAACACTATTATATATTATGTATCAAAGCTGTAAAGCTTCTATGACACTGTTATATATTATATATCACTGATGGCAAGCTTTGCTAACATTGTTATATATTATATATCACAGTAGTCAGGCTTCATGTAATACTGGTATATATTATATATCACAGCCGTCAGGCTTCATGTAATACTGGTATATATTATATATCACAGCAGTCAGGCTTCATGTAATACTGGTATATATTATATATCACAGCTCTCAGGCTTTATGTAATACTGTTTTATGTTATATATCACAGCTCTCAGGCTTCATGTAATACTGTTTTATGTTATATATCACAGCTCTCAGGCTTCATGTAATACTGTTTTATGTTATATATCACAGCTCTCAGGCTTCATGTAATACTGTTTTATGTTATATATCACAGCTCTCAGGCTTCATGTAATACTGGTATATATTATATATCACTGCTGTCAGGCTTCTATACCACTGTTATATGTTATATATCACAGCTCTCAAGCTTCTATACCACTGTTATATGTTATATATCACAGCAAATGCCTTCAAGATTGGTTTGAAATGGGAGTACTTCGGTGTTCTGGCCACGATGCGAGCTGCAGTGTTTTGCATCTTTTGAAGTTTCTGTTATTACTATTTAGTCATGCGCCCGAGTTGACTGCTTGTATAACCATGTCTCGAAATGACCAATGACTGAACCAGAGTCCCTGTTGCACCAGCAGGGACGAGGTGGTGGTTCTGTCCAATACATCGGGGATGATTGTGCCTTGACCAACACAGATTGCCTACCTGTACCTGGATATCACGGAATCTCCCAGACCCTGCGATTGTTCAATGGTTCCCTGTGCTGTCTTCACTTATTGCCATTGATGTATTTTGCCTACTTAGAATGACTCAGTTTCTTATATTTGAGTTTCAATGTGTTTCCTGTCATGCAGTGTTTGTTGTGTGCAGTACATTCAGTCGCACGTTCCAATGCCTCGGTGACAACGCTAGGGTTAAAACCATCAATCAGCTGTGTGTCAACAGTTGGTGGTCGACGTCATGTTTGTGCAGGTTAGGTCTAAGACTGTTGCACATGGAACAAACAGCATCGGGCCTAATACGGAGCCTTGATGGACATCACATATCAGATAAGTTTTGCTTTTTGTACTATTAAGGATTATACAAATAACATTGCAAATGAAATATATTTTATAAGCAGTCCAAGAGGCTGTATACTTTCTTTTTATCAATAGTTCATATAAAATCAAATCTGTTTCTGTTGTAAGTGTTTGACTATCTTATCACTAACCTTTTATCATTTTCTGCTCCTCCGTTGTAAGAACCGGCAGCCTCGATGTCATGTTGCGGTACTTGCTTCTCAAGTGGACTTCCTGTCTCATCACAGCCGGGTAATTTCCATCTAAAAATACTGGGTCAGCCATCCAATCAGATTTGTAGGCAAACGATAGAGCTTGCCCGAACCAGTCTCCAGGGTTACGTGATGTCTTCGGAATAAACCACGCCGAGCGAACTGCTAATCCGACCTTGCCTATAATAGTAATAATAATAATGATAATGATAATGATAATGATAATGATAATAATAATAATAATTGGAGGACGTGGTTTGATTAATGTGGAGGCTTTTCATGATAAAATTGTTTCAAGGGGAGGCTTTCTGAACGACCACTGCATCGAGTTTATGTGCAGTGTGTTGAGAAGATCCGCCACTTGGATGAAGTCGTCTGGCCTGAAAAGTGAAACAGAAGGCTTTCTGTTTGCTGCTCAGGCCCAGTAACTTCCAACTCGAAACCGTCAATGTGTGATATTGCATCAAAATGTCAATATGACCTGTAGATTATGTAATGAATTAGATGAGTGTCCAACACATTGTCAGTGGATGCCCAGCTTTAGCACAGACACAGTATCTTAAGCGACATGAAAGGGTGGCTCGATCATGTTATTACCGTCTTCGCCATGCTTGTGGTTTTGACACAGAGGTCCATCCATGGTACGACCCGGAATATGTAGAGGGCGTCATGGAAAATGATAAATATAAAATTCTTTGGAATAGGCTCGTACACAGCCTCAGACGTATCCAGGCCAACAAACCTGATCTTGTCCTTTTTGATAAATCCAATGAAATCATTTATATCATTGAATTTTCTGTCCCCTTTGACACCAATGTGATTGACAAGATTGAGGAAAAACATGGCAAATATGCGGACCTCGCTTTCGAAATGTCACGCTTGCATCCCAAGTACCAAGTTGTCCGACTACTCATTGTTCTCTGTGCCTTAGGGTTGGTACCTCCAAATCTGGTGACTGACATTGGGAGAGTACCCGGGTTTGCTACCAGGAATACAGCCCTTCTGACAATCTGGGTAATGCAGAAGGCTGCAGTGTTGGGTTGTCTTCACATTCTCCGAAACGTTTGGGTGGGTTTGACTAGGCAGCGCTTCCTGATCCCATTCGCTGTCTGGGCTGCGTGTAGAGGGGGCAAGGACCCTGAGCTGATAATGAGCCTAACCAGCCCTGAATGTGCCAGGATCACCCAAACCCTTTTTGCTGCATTTTTTTAATTTCAATCTATAAATAATAATAATAATAAAAACAATAAGAGGCGCAAGATCAGTGTAATCATCGAACCAATATATCGGCATATGCTGAAGTAAATTATCTGCAGTTGACAATCTCACATGTAATTTTAGGCAAAGCCAAATGACTGAAAACAACCTCTGAAAATTAATTACGAACCTCGTTAATCTCGCCATTTTTGACAAATTACTAAATCACGGTCACGGCGTTATTTAGTGTTTGTTTTGAAATCAAAATATCGGCTATTTATTTGGAGAATGAGATTCAAAAATAGCATATTTGTGATCACAGGTATCTGTTTATTTTTTTATCAACTCACCAATGAGCATTCTGAAACGTCGCCGATAAACCTAGACTCGTTAGAATGTTTTGGAAAATATACAAACACGATCGTCGAAGTGAACTTACCGCCATAGTGGACAGCGTTTAAAAAATCACGTTCCACGTATGCCGGTCATGAGACGCCTATTACATCACGTATATTTCAAACTCAGCTGCGATACATACATACCTGAATTCTTCATACATTTTAGAATCAAATAATAAATGGTCATTGTTCTACAATGAGTTGTGTTTTTTAAAATTATGGAATGGGAACTACTTTGTTTTGCGTAAGTGTGAAGAATATACACGCAATTGGGTCACTGCATTCCAATGTAACCGGTGAGTTGGCGGTAACCGCATCAATGTGGGGCGCCTTAATGTCGGGCGCCTTAACGTGGGGCGCCTTGATGTGGGGCGCCTTAACGTGGGGCGCCTTAACGTGGGGCGCCTTAATGTCGGGCGCCTTAACGTGGGGCGCCTTAATGTCGGGCGCCTTAACGTGGGGCGCCTTAATGTCGGGCGACTTGATGTGGGGCGCCTTAACGTGGGGCGCCTTAATGTCGGGCGCCTTAACGTGGGGCGCCTTAATGTCGGGCGCCTTAACGTGGGGCGCCTTAATGTGGGGCGCCTTGATGTGGGGCGCCTTAACGTGGGGCGCCTTAATGTGGGGCGCCTCAATGTGTATGCCTTAACGTGGGGCGCCTTAAATACAAATTTATAAGACATGAACTTCATACGGGGTCGCAAGCTCCGGCGCTTACACGATTTTAATTTGCACGGTTCAAAGCTCCAGTAAACCAACGCAATATGAAATTCATTCCTCAAATGCACTAGTGTATGACATTAAATAATTTAATTTACATGATATACGGCTCTTCCATTGGACGAGACGTTGGTCGCATGACCGCAAAATTGACGTTCACAAGTGTATGAACGACTCAATTCGACGTTCATACGTTTTTCACGAGGCCGTGTTCTTAAAATGACGTAAACACTGACGGACTACTTCCACATTCCTAGGGGAACCTCCCTCGCACGAATACATACATAAGCGTTTTTCTGATCATCAAGACCCTTTACTCTTTTATGTCAGAGACTTTCACAGCATTATCGATCGTTCACGAATATCCTCGCTACGATCCATCCTAGTGAATAAAACGACAGAATGCACATGAAAACTATCATAGTATCAACTCGACCCGTGCCCAGACTGAGCGTGACAGTCTACCACAATCTTTGAATTTACCTTAGTGTCTGTTTGACGCATATTTAATCACCTTGCAATGATCGGCCAGTTGATCAATGATAACTAACACATGTAACCACCACAGGTTCACTAACAACTTCCGAAATCTCTCCCATCACGTTTATAGTGTCGGCCATTTTGACGTCTTGTACTTGATGTAAATGTATTACGTCGCGCTGTAATTGTGATTGACTTACTGAGGTAGTTCTTAACATACATTTCGCATCCAATGATGATATTATTTGAGACATTCTTTGTAAGCAAACTACCGCAGATAGCAAGTTTAGCATATATATATACATGTCACCTCTCTTCTTGGGGAACTATTTTATTCCGCGATATAGGTGGTTGTTGTATGGCTGTCAGTGTAAACATGAAGTCACACGAATAGATCTAGCGCTACATCCCTATAATAGACATTTTGTGTGAGTTCATTGGAGTATGAACCTTCATTGAGTGAGGGCCTAACAGTGTATGGTTCATACTCTAATGGACTCACACAAAGTGAAAGTCACTTTTTAATTGACCCACGTCACAGGTATGTAACACTGAATACTATTACTCACCTCCCTGGGAATGTTGGAACTCTCGCTGGTATATTCGGTAGACGGAGGCGTGAGCCTTCAGCATGTTATGTGCGGCTGTATAACCTTCACCTCTAATACCAGGGGCGTGGTAGCCCTGCTCGTATCCTAGCAACGCCATTTTGTTCGGATCATTCAGAGGAATCCACATTTTCACCTGTGGAGGAGACACACCCATCACACTGACACTGAACCTGCATCCTCATCATTCATTGGCGGCGTTAGTGTTACAGGACTGTCACCCCACGGCTGGGGCACAAGACCATGTAGCTCACCTACGTATCGACTGATCAGAACATGAGGGTCTGACATTCTATAAACATTTTCATAAGGCTTCAAAATAATTGTTCCCTAACATGTTCGCCATGACGTTTTCGTTTGTATAAGAAATGTTTCACTTGAATGCAATATGTTATTGAAATGTATTACATCGTTTATACCAAATAATCTTATGAAAACTATTTCAACGCATGTTTGTTTTTTACATTGTTGACCTATTTCATCAATCCTTAATAAAATGTCCTTTTGTAGTTTTTGACAGCATTTTCCCCTTTTTCACTCAGGTAGGTCATAGGTCACAATATTAGGTCATAGGGGGAGAGCTGGCCTAGTGCAGAACGCGTGCACCCCTGACACAAACACAAGCGACAGTATTCTAAATAAGCCTGCCCGTGTGGTTACTTAGGCAGCACAATTTGAAAGCTCAGGGAACATGCTCTATCTCTACACTGGCTACCTGTACACTCACGTATTGAGTTCAAAACAGTGTGTTTGTCGTACACATAGAACAGATCGACTGTACATGTGTGAACTAGTGTCCTAGTTTCAACCAGGGCGGTGTCTCAGATCAGGCTCAAAGCAACTGCTAGATGTCCCGAGTTTCAACCTTAACGCGTTTGGCGCTACATCGTTTAGATCTGTTGCTGCCATAACACGGAAAGAACTTCCAGACTGTGACAAGAACGGTTTCAACATTCAAACCCCAGCACAAGACATATCTTCTTGAAAAGCATGTGTGACCTTTGTCTTTGTGTAGTGTAAGCGCTGAGTGCTGGGGGTGGAGTGAACAAACCTATTAAAAGTGGCTATAATGGAGGTTCATTCTTGCTGTTCTTAGTCGCTGGATTCCTACTAAACCACGGTGTAGAATCACACTCGCTCGTTCCCTACCCCAGATGTTCATCTCCGGCGGTGTCAGTCGAAACCACAAGTTGAAACATACGTTATGGTCCAGTTGTGTCCAGGTAATGGTGCAGTGTGCAATTTGTGAGTAGTTTGTGTCCAATGATATTTTAGTGCGGTCGGTAAAGTCCGATGGAGGTCTGGAGAAGCGACACGTTGGTGAAACACACGGATCATTTCAGGATTATTTTCAGGATAGATCTGGACACCGAGCGCCGCAACTCTACACAGCGAGTGACCACTGAGCCTTTGACTTGGTAGTAACATGTTGTCCGTTTCCCTCTCTTGTTTAAGGACATGAACATTGTGAATCGTTATCATCGTTATATCATTGTCATTATCCTTATCATCGTCATTGTCATTATCATCGTAATTATCATAAGCAATTTTCATCGTCATTAGCATGACTTTTATCATTATCATTATCCTACTGACCTTTCCACCGAACTCTTTAAAACATATTCTTGAATAGTTGCCAAAGGCTTCTACAATATCCTCGCTGAGCCAGCCATTGCTGAAGGCAGCAGGGACGTCCCAGTGATGGAGGGTGACTATAGGCTGGATGCCAGCCTCCGTGACAGCCATCAGCAGCTTGTGGTAGAACTTGATTCCCTCACGATTTATCTTTCCAGAGTCACCGTTTGGCAGGATCCGAGGCCAGGACAGCGAGAGGTAATACACCTTGGCCTACATAGACACATCACGCATTGACATCGAAAAGCTATCCTTACAAACATGATCAATAACTTATTTAATATTACACTGTTCATACACATAAAACAGATGGTATCAATAGTTTCTTGTCAGGTTCATATCCGTCATGCAGGAGTAGGACAATACCTCGTTAGAAACATGAAACAATACAGATATCTGACAAACCATGAACTTAAGTATGTCACTATGCTCAGGTTCCAGAACTTGGAACTTGACGCAGAATCGGTGTGATGTTAAACTCTATAAGTAACAAGTGCTTCTTTTTGACATTCCGACAATCCCTTGGTCCTTACCCCAATATCTTTCAGACTCTGTACATCGGCCATGTAGTGTTGGTAGGACATGGGGCCGTCTTTATTTGTTGTGAACACGTCCCATAGACTGTCACCCCTCCCTGTCAGACACATACATGTAGATATCACTGGCTACAACATACACAACACTGGCTACAACATACACATGTAGACAACACTGGCTACAACATACACAACACTGGCTACAACATACACATGTAGACAACACTGGCTACAACATACACAACATGCACAACACTGGCTACAACATACACATGTAGACAACACTGGCTACAACATACACAACATGCACAACACTGGCTACAACATACACATGTAGACAACACTGGCTACAACATACACATGTAGACAACACTGGCTACAACATACACATGTAGACAGCAGTGACTACAACATACACATGTAGACAACACTGGCTACAACATACACAACACTGGCCACAACATACACCTGTAGACAACACTGGCTACAACATACACAACACTGGCTACAACAAACACATGTAGACAACACTGGCTACAACATACACAACATGCACAACACTGGCTACAACATACACAACACTGGCTACAACATACACATGTAGACAACACTGGCTACAACATACACATGTAGACAACACTGGCTACAACATACACATGTAGACAACACTGGCTACAACATACACATGTAGACAACACTGGCTACAACATACACATGTAGACAACACTGGCTACAACATACACATGTAGACAGCAGTGACTACAACATACACATGTAGACAACACTGGCTACAACATACACAACATGCACAACACTGGCTACAACATACACATGTAGACAGCAGTGACTACAACATACACATGTAGACAACACTGGCTACAACATACACAACATGCACAACACTGGCTACAACATACACATGTAGACAACACCGCGAATGGGTGTCCTACCCGCGGCGGGATGCTGGAAATAAGTAACCATAAACATGTTTAGGTTGCTCCTAATACTGTTCATGCTGAACATCGGCACTTGGAATACCAGAGGTGCACTGTACAGTCGCCAGTACCTTGAAAACATAGCTAACAAATGTGATGTGTTAACTGTTTCTGAACACTGGTTGACCAAAAGAACTGAGACATTTTTCGACTCGCTGAGTTCGTCATATGACGCCGTGGTAAAAATCAAAGAAGACCAGAGAGGATACAGAGGCGAAGGTGGAGTTGCTATTTTAGTTAAAAAGGACTCGTTCAGTGATATACAGACGTACGTCCCTGGGTATGACGGAGTAGTTGCTGTAAGGCTATCTAGACCCAACTATGTTGACCTATCTGTGGTCTGTACACTCCTTCCATCCACCAATAAGAATGTGTGTGCCTATCAAGAACGATTGAAGGAAACATTCGACATTGTTGATGAACTCTCACAAACCAGTCATACTATCCTGTGCGGCGACTTCAACACAGACATAACCAATAATCAAAACTCGCATCGATCACGCCTACTCATAGATTATCTGTCTGTGCGGAATATGGTATCTTCCTATGACAGCGGTAAAGTAGTAGGACAACTAATGACATGGAGGAACAAGAACTTCACACAATCGTCCATAATTGACTATGTATTTGTACCTCAACATCTACAACTATCTGTCAACAAGACACGTATATATGATTCAACTCCTTTCGATGTGTCTGACCACTTCCCTGTTATAGTGTCCATACATGATGACAAGCTAAACAGCACTACATGTAAAGCGGACATGCCGTCGACTCCATACAAATGGACAAAAGCTAGTCACTTAGAACTAAGTATGTATGAAGCCGAGGTTCACAGATTGCTTGGTGATGTAATGCCTGACACTGGGAATATAGGAGCTGATGTAATAGAGAGTTATTTTGACTCGATTGTCAGCGCACTAAAGACGTCTGCTGCTAAGTTCATACCACGTGGACACTATAGAGCTCACCTGAAACCTTACTGGAAGAGTTCAAACCTTGACCTCTATCATTACAAGATGCGCCAGGCGAAAAGATTGTGGTCAGCAGAAGACAGGCCTCGGGGTACCGGTAACGACTCGTATACCCTATACAAACAGGCTAAATGTGACTTCCGACGTTGCAAAAGACAGGCTGAGAGACAATGGAATAAAGAAAAATATGTTGAAATAAACTCAGCATGTGAAGTAGATATTGCTGAATTCTACAGGATTGTAAAGAAACAAAGACAATCTAAGACTGTAAATACACACCTCAAGTACAAAGAACGCTGTTGCAATACACCATCAGAGGTGTGCAACTTGTGGGCAGACTACTATGCAGATTTATTATCACCTCTCGACCGGCCGGAGTTTGACAACGACTTTCGTGTTGAGACGGACTCTAGAATAAACAACATCTCAAAGATACCACTTCTGGACGATGATCCTATACTGAAGAGAGACATAGAAATACACGAACTAAAACGACTGAAACAAAGCTTAAAAATGAGAAAGTCACCAGGACCGGACCAAATCACAAATGAACATATCTATTTCGCTGGAGATATGCTTCTAAAACACTTAACTCAACTGTTTAACATGATGATACGAACATGCTATAGCCCTGCACTGTTGAGATCTGGAACAATTATTCCAATATATAAAGGAAACAATAAGGACAGATCGGATCCTGCAAATTACAGAGGTATCACTCTGACGTCAGTGGTGGGAAAACTGTTCGAAAAGATCCTATTAGAGAGAATTGAGAGACATATCAAATATATGGAGCCCGACTTCCCACATAGATTACAATGTGGCTTCAGGCGAGAACACGGTGCAAACATAGCTACCTACATACTCAAAGAAGTCATATATTTCTATACGGAAAGGTCTTCTAACGTATACACTGTGTTTCTTGATAATGAGAAAGCGTTTGATCGCATCTGGCACAATGGACTACTCCTAAAATTATTCATCCTTGGTGTGCAAGGGAAAGCCTGGCATATCATACGTCAGTCGTATCACGAATCTACTGCATGTGTCAAATATGCCGGTGAGACAAGTCGAACGTTCCCAATCGGACAAGGTGTAGGACAAGGACGTGTCTTATCCGCCTGGATGTTCCTTGTGTATATTAACGAGCTTATAATCCGCCTTGACCATTTGAAACAAGGTGTTATGCTTGGACGTGATCACTTCCCAGTTGTCCTACTCGCGGACGACACAACCCTCATAAGCTCAACAAGTAGTGGCATATGCATGTCCTTACAGACTGTACATCAATATGCTTGCCAATGGAGATTGACATATAATGCAAGAAAAAGCTGTGTTCTGGTGTTTAAAGGTGGAAACAAAATCAACCAACCAGGTTCTTTTAGACTAGGTAACCATATACTGGAAATGAAATCGAACACAATATATGCAGGTTCTATTATCAGTACTCATTTAGAATCCGAAAGGACCAGGAGAGCTTGCGCTAAGGCGAGGAAGAATTTGAATTCCCTGAGAGATATTGGTCTAAGAGCAGGTGGTCTGAACCCAGTCTGCTGTATGAACATATGGCGTAGAGGAATAATTCCAGGTGCCTTCTACGCGTGTGAACTGTGGTCAAATATGTCCAAGACAGAACACAATGAAATTGAAAAACTCCAGCGCTACTTTGCACGTAATGTACACAATTTTCATGTAAGATCTTCGACCGTTGCAACTATTCAGACGCTGGGATTGTGGACAATGACATCCGTGATTGACAAAATGAAGCTGATGTTCCTTGGGAGGATGTGTAGAAGCAGCCACAGACATGCCCCGAAAAAGGTGTTCTATTTCAAGTGTGCTCAATATATAACAGGCAGTGACAAAAGTAAGTCTGTAACACATGATCTACTCAATGTGGCAAAGAAATATGAATTATGGACCATAATAGTTCACTTTATGAAAACTAACCAGTTTCCATCCAAGGATGTGTGGAACAAAACCGTACAGACTAAAATAACAGAACATGAAACTGCTCATTGGCACACGTGTCTGCGAGATCACCCTGAATTAAACAGATTTATTAAAATTCACAGTAAGCTTGTACCTCATAGACTGTGGAATATGTGTATTCTGTACAATATACCAACTAGACAAATGTATGCACTTGTGAAACTAGGAACACTACCAATAACACCTGGACAGTGTTTAATGTGTGATGAGGAGTGCGATGACATAATAAAGCACCAACTGTTATGTTGTACAGCTTTAGCTGATGCAAGGAAGACCCTCTATGAACATCTATTTGACTCTTTAAACCTCGAACAATACATGCGTATTGAGGACTGTGCAGATGACGAAGTCAAACTTGTGACATTGCTAGGTGGTATAACCCCTATTGTAGAGGATATGAGCCTTGACAGATGGGCTGAATTCATATCTTCTGTATCACGAGACATAAGCTCCTGGAACCTGCGATCACTGCTCTATCTATAGACAGTATATCTCATACCAGGACCAGGACATGTAAATATTCAGTATTGCCAATTTCTCTGCATAATATAATGTTCGTGTAAATATGCTGTGTTAACATGATTCCAAATGTATATCACTCTCCGAAATTAATGGAGGAAATAAAGATCATTCATGTAGACAGCAGTGACTACAACAAACACATGTAGACAACACTGGCTACAACATACACAACATGCACAACACTGGCTACAACATACACATGTAGACATCACTGGCCACAACATACACAACACTGGCTACAACATACACACCACTGGCTACAACATACACACCACTGGCTACAACATACACACCACTGGCTACAACATACATATGTAGACAACACTGGCTACAACATACACATGTAGACATCACCGGCCACAACATACACAACACTGGCTACAACATACACATGTAGACAACACTGGCTACAACATACACATGTAGACATCACTGGCCACAACATACACACCACTGGCTACAACATACACACCACTGGCTACAACATACACAACACTGGCTACAACATACACATGTAGACAACACTGGCTACAACATACACATGTAGACAACACTGGCTACAACATACACATGTAGACA